CCTTTTCTGGAAATTGAATCCTTGTTATTTCCCCTTCTCATTACAATTGTTCGTTTAGCAACCGTTCAAAGTTACAACGGAAATTGGGAGGCGGGGGGGGAAGCGGACGGAGCTTTCTCCTCGCGCTTGCGACCGTTGTGGCATCCTCGCTAACGCAAAATTCAGGCAACCGGCACATATTTACGACGGTCGTGCTGTCCGCGGGGAGAGAGGAGGAAAGAGGGGGGGGTCACCTGAGGAGCACAGTCAACGCGGAAGCCTGATTTGCTTAATGGCTGCTGATTCGTTTAACGACGGTGGAAAAGGTGACGGGAAAAAAATCAGATGTGATTCCCAGGACAGCTGTCTTGCTGAGCGACGGGAATTCTGCCCGCCTTCCCGGGTCTGGTCGTAAGTCCGTTTTATTCTTCATCAGCAATATTTTTGTAGGCCGAAAATTTTAATTTCAGCCTCATCTCCAGAACCGGAATCAATCCAGACCAATCAAACCTGGAATTAATGCTGATCAGAATGTGGGGAAACTGAGGCACAAAGGGGTCCCTTCTCTCATCTGGAACAGACAATTGGGGGGGGGGGGGGGGCTTCATTTCCCAGACCTCTTTTCCTCCTGAATTACAGGCAGTCCTTGACTTACGACTGTTGTTTCTGTCACTAAGCAAATCCCGTCGTTAAGCAAATCCCTGCAGCGGTTAAATGAGTCCCACGGTCCTTAAGCGAATCCGGCTTCCCCAGGGATTTAGCTGGTCGGGCGGGGGGGGAAGGTCACCAAACACCCCTCCCCCTCCCCAGGACGGACCTCAAGAGTCTATTGGTCCAATGTCTGAATTTTGTCCATATGGCCGCGGGGACGCTGCAACGGTCGTAAAGTGGGAAACATGGCCTGAAGTCCTGTTTTTCGGTGCCACTGTAACTTCGAACCGCCGCTAAACGAACAGTTGCTGGTATTTCAAGGCCTCTTAAAGACATTGTTTGGATGATGGAGGGGCGGTTATGTCACCTGTCCCACCTTCTCTTCCCCCCCCTCTGCTCCCCCAGGCCACCTCACCTGATCCACAGCTTGCTCCCATTGAGAGTGTAGTAGGTACCGCAGGGACTGAGTTCGGCCCTGGTCCGGATGGAGGCTGCGTCGGAGCCGCTGGTGTTCTCAGTCAGGCAGAAGGCGGCGATGGTCTCACCTGGGCAAGCGGGGGGCGGGGGGAGTGACAGAATAAGTGTGTCCCTATACCCTCCTCCCCCACCCCCGCCATCCCAGCACATCAAACGCGCAAGTGACAGGTGAATGAAATGTAAGAGGAAAAGTGCTGTGGCCTGTCAGCCGCTGGACCCTCCACACACCGAATCAGAGGCGGAGGAGTGGGAGAATCAGAGGAGGAGGAGGAGGAGGAAGAGCGGGAATCAGGGTCAGCATCAGAGCAACCTGAGAGCTCTGAGGGGGAAGAGCAGGGTGGGATTCTACAGGTTCGCACCTGTTCGCTAGAACCGGTTGTTAACATTCTAAGCAGTTTGGAGAACCGGTTGTTAGAAGAAATTACAGGGCTAATCCTGTAAGGAAGGCAGGAAGGAAACATTCTGGTGTTGCTTACAGAAACTGCCCCTCTGTTAACCCTTATTACATCCTTGGCAGGAGGAGTTTTTTTCCCCTCCTTTGCTGGTACTTTGCTTGTGTGGAGTGACCATTAGGGCACCGAAAAAAGTGACTTATGACTGTCTTTCACACTTGCGACTGTTGCAGCATCCCCACAGTCACGAGAGTCCTGGCGAGGAGGTGCGTGCCTCAATGTGAGTGATATTGAATGGGCCACACCCAGACAATCACATGACCACCAAGCCACAGCCACCCAGTCACATGACCACCAAGCCACCGGTTGTTAAAAAATTTGAATCCCACCCCTGGGGAAAAGGGAACGGAGCTGGCAGAGGGAGGGAGACAGAGGCGGAGCCTGGACCGCCCGTCAGCCCTCCGATGGAAAGTCAACAGCCGCCAGGTCTGGAAGTGGCTGATGAGGAAGAGGAGGAACAGCCGGGGTTCAGTGCCTGACGCGCAGAGGAGAGGAGAGCAGTAGAAATCTATGGGCCGGTCCTCGGGACGGAAGAGCCATCGCTACTAGAGAAGCCCCACCCTAGTTCTGGGGATAAAAGGCCGGGGGTGGTGCTGCAAACAACTACTCATCTCCCGGCCGGCCGGACTTAGCCTGCGGTGAAAAAGAACCTTTTTTCCGAGGGCTGCCGGCACTCCTAATAAAGGAATCTTTTGAGTTCACATCAGAGGGATTGTTGTGTGCTGGGCGAGAAAGTGGGTGACCAGGAGTTGTAGTCCCGCCATCGTCAGAAAAGCTGGCTGGGCGCCATTGTGCCAATCGCGAGGAAATGTCGGTTCCTAATCCTGTCTTAGGTAGGAAAGGCTGCAGACGGACTGACTTTGGGACAACGGCAAGGGAGCGTGAGTTCTAGTTTCCGCCTTAGAAATGAAAGTGGACTGGGTGACTTTGGAGACTGGGAATTCTAGTCCCGCCTTAACCATATGGGTGACTTTGGGCCTGTCACCAGGCGATGTTGAGTTCTAGTTCCG